TATATATATAAGTAGTATATACTGTATATTTAGTAGTTTTTCCTCTCGCTCTCGACGGAGACGGATGCTCTCTTTCCCTCTCCTGCCTCCCCTGATTCTGATATATACATGGTTACACCTGTCCAGGGTGTCCCCCACCTCTCGCACAGTGACCCGTAAAGGTAGAAGCAGGTAAAGATATAGGATAGGTGGATGAATATAGTATATTTAAGGACCATATGAGGTGAAACACTAGTTAAGCACTTGAGTCACTCTGTTTTGTATTTTTTGTCTGCATGTTTGTTCTTGTCTTGCTGCAAATAAAAATATGAACATTTTCAAGATGGATTAAAAAAACAAAAGAAAGTTGAAACATTACTCCTACTTTTACCTTATCATGAATGTTGATGTGCAGTTTTGTGCTTCTATGCTTTATGAGACTAATTCAAACCATACAGAGAGTATCTAAAGCTTTAAATCGAACGTTTGAACAAGAATTAGATACAGTGGTGCATGAAAGTTTGTGAACTCTTTAGAATTTTCTATATTTCTGCATAAATATGACATAAAACATCATCAGATTTTCACACAATCCTAAAAGTAGATAAAGAGAACCCAGTTAAACAACTTGGTCATTTATTTATTGAGGAAAATGATTCAATATTACATATTTGTGAGTGGTAGAAGTAAGTGAACCTCTAGGATTAGCAGTTCATTTGAAGGTGAAATTAGAGTCAGGTGTTTTTGTGCTGATGCATTTTTGACATCTTTACATTTTAACTCCCTTAAGTTTTAAGTTCACGTTATTAGCAATTCAGCCAGTCTAGACTGTGAAGTTCTACTACACCTTTATATTATTTTATGTTGTCAGAATGACTCGGGTGAACTCGCAATAAAGCTGTAAAGGAGCTGTGTACACCATCACCTACCCAAGAAGAGGGCATGTAGCAGCAGGGGCAAGTGCAAAGCCCAGTCCTCTCTCACGCTGTGGTCCACCACCATCTCAGTCATAAAAATGACAGCAATGTTGCACCTGAAGACCAGCACAAACATAAATTTCAGAGCACAGAAAAAAAACAGTAAAAACAAAACAATAGTAGCTCTTTCTATGTTGTGTGATGGGGAGTGATGCAACCTCTCCCAAATATTAGACTCAATGTCCATCTAGCATTTAAAGAAACTGACTTTAATGAAAGCTTTTCTGTTACAATGTTTCCTGTTGAACATTTCATCACGAAGCTGGGCTAGGAGAAAAGAAAACTTCCTGCTTGAATGGAACCAGCACCGGAAAAGACAAACATGCCATCTGCGTTACCTGTTAAACGGTTACAAATTAAATCCGTGACAGCACATTTCAAAAAGAAAGTACCTTCAGACAGACAGACAAAAACAATTAAGTCTCATCCTCAAAACTGGTTCTGTGCAGCTTTACTACTGGAATTACTGTGCACTGATCTTAACACAAGCTCTAGTTACACAACACGCTCCTCTTCTGTGCTCTGCTGCATCATACATTTTATTTGACTCTTTGAGGATGAATTTGATGTCAAGTCATGGCAAATTGTTTTAGATGTTAGGAGAAGCCACAATGATGAAGTCATAAATTTGTTTTGACCGTTTCCTTGTAGAAGTAGAGGAGCTGGCTGGGTCTCATTCTGAGATTTTCAGATTATCTGTCAGAAAGTGACGGGCTTGTTTGTGAAAATCGAGCTGCTTTACGACTTAGCTGTAAATTCCACGGCCGGGCAACTCCCAGGCCGTTTCCTGTGTGTATTTTCAGTACATAGTGTGTATTTGTGTAAGTATACCTATGCAGAGGCCCTCGAGGTGTGATGGTCTCAGGAAGGTAGTCGACCAGCGGTGCCCAGCAGCCTCCGTTAATAGGCATGGGTAGCGGCTGAGGACGGTTGGTCTCAAGAACACTCAGTAGCCATCCAGCATATGGTGGGAGAGGATCAGCTGAAAAAGAAGTATAAATACAAACTAAATAAACAAGACAATAGTCATGAAAATGTTCTTCTGACTAATCACTCCAAAGAGCTCTTTCAGAAAGCTTGGGGTCTATCTGCAGACCAGATAATCCAGTTTAAAGTTGTTTGTAGCTCCTATTACATCATCTTTTGGCTTTTTCCTTTTCAGGTGTCACCACAGCGAGTCTTTAAAAAGAAATCTCTTATGAGAAATATTAAAATGTTGGACATATGGGCAGGATGCATTGAACGCCACAAAATGAACTGGAAGTCCTACAGTCCAAGTGAGAATTTTCATTCAACCTTTTTTATACAGGTTAGTCTCATTGAGTCATGAGGACTCATTTTCAAGCGAGACATGTTTGTGGGGCAAACAGAATGGTAGAGCTAAGATACTGTGGGTCTTCCAGATCCAGACTGACAAACGGGAGACGGCTAATGAAGCACACATTGTGGTGGTCAACAAGCTAGAGAAAAGGCTTTGGTGATAGATGTAGGACCCCCAAGCAACGTCAACAACCCTTGACAGAAATAATAGTATTAAACAGTATTTAACTTTTAAAAAGTTCTTTAGACTTCACAGAAGTCACAGGTCTGCTTTCCAATACAAAGATCTGAGTGACAGTGGGACTTCTTTTTCATATGCCAACTAAAATAACACAAAGCAAGAGGCAGGACTTTGAATAATACTGTAGAAGCGCTACATAAATACTGTAGTCCAAAAGAAAAAGCAACTGAAAACATAACGTTTGGAACTGGTTTTGTCTAAAGTTAAAGAGGTAAACAATCTGGACAAGGAAAAGTGTCCATGTTGTGGGGGTTTTCCAGCTAATGTTCTGCTCTGAGTGTGAGTGGATATCACCCAAGTTTAAATTTAATTCATTGTCAGTGAAACCACAACAACCCACTCTTTTCATCTTCGTAGGAGCCTCCGGAGCTGTTGCTGTAGCGAGACTCCAGCCTGTTGTGAGCCCTGAACCTGCTGAAATTAATCCAAAAAAAATTGAACTTTAATTTACCGACTTTTATAAATGAAAGTGGCCACACAGTGGCAGCCAGTGCAGGTAATTTTGTTTGGTACTAACCGATCTTCATTCTCTCTGACCAGCTTGTTCTCATCTGTGTCTGGCAGGTTGTCCTGTCCAGCCACCACAGTGTTACTGCTGGAGGTGGTGCCTGAACATTAAATAAGAAAGTTGTAGTTTTCAGTTCAAAAGACCAACTAAGATAGAACTTACATCGTGCACAAGTTCAGCATTTCTGCTGACCTGTCTGAGAGGTGGAGCCTTTGTTGCTGGCAGCAAAACGATAAAAGGGAGGATTATCACAGTGTAAAACCACAGGGTTGACCGGGTCCGTCTGCTGCAGCTCAAACAGAAGCTCTTCCATAGTTTGAATGGTGTTGTTGCGACACAAGTAGATCACCACCTTTTTAATCTAAAATCCCACACAAACATTAAGAAATACAAAATATAAGTATTAAAACAATATTTTTTTCTGTACATCATCATCAAATCATGGAATGCAAAATATTTTTGCTGCCGCCCTCATCGTTTCATTTAACTCACATAAGGTAATAACGTGGTGTCACTGCTGACGCCACACAGGCTGATCAGGAACTGCAGGGCGATTCGCAAGTTGTTGCCCCACCGCTCGTTGGACACCAGAGCATTCCAGGCATTTTCAATCTCTGGTCCAGGAACCTCATCTCCATACTGAAGATAAAAAAATAATAAAGTCCAGTAATGAGGCAGAAGATGGTAAAATATTTATTGAGTGAATGTTTATGAAGCGTTCACACTATTGTGATCCATTGTTCTTCCGTACGTTTTTCGGCGCAATTCGCATTCCACAATTTTTTGTGCTATTTCAACAAATCATAAATCAAAACATTCAGCTCTTTCAGGAATAACCTGCAATGACTTTTGGTATTGGTGCAACTTTAGCTTTTTGAAATATTTAGCTTTTTCTGCCACTTTTTCCCTCATAGAAAATGAATTAAGTTCATTTTACCTCCTTCAAATCTTTAGATCAGTTTACAACCTTTCACTGCTCCTTTCACATTTTGTTCTGGTTCAGCTTCTTTCAGCTTTCTTGTGCAAATTTAAAGTTTTTTCAGCTAATTTCAGCTGTTTTGTGCTTATTTGAGATTCTTTCTGGTAACGACAACATTTTTGTTCTTCTTCTAACTTCTTTCTGCTAATTTCAGCTTGTTATGCTCCTTTCAGCTTATTTATGCAAGTTTCAGCTTTTTCTGCCATTTCAGCCACTATTAAACTGTTTTATTTTAATTTAAGCTTTTTCAGCTAATTCCACATTTTTTGCACTCATTTAAACTTTTTTCAGCCTACCGGTAATTCAGCAAAAATGTGATCTCTCCACTTCCTTCTGGTAATTTCAGATTCTTTCAGCTTTTTTAGCTACTTACCAGTTTGCTGCTGACAACCAAAACCAGCAGCAAAACTGGTTGATCCACTCTGAGAAGGTGCTATTTAAGAGACTGAGCTGAATACAGCACCTCAGACTGAGGAAGTCTCTCGGATGAGAGACGAAACGTTTCTACATTTTTTTGTTGTTTTGCTTTTTTTTTTTTTTTTTTTTTTTGAATGTCCAGAGGACCAGATTTAACTTTTTTGAATTTTTCTACCTGGATTATTGAGCATGCATCAGGATATATTAATCATGTCTTTTCCTACCTTAGCAGTCATGAACATGAGGTTGTTGAGCACCAAAGAGGTCGCCTGCAAGGACCCCCAGCCGTTTCCTCTCAGACTGGGGGACATGCCCTGCGCCTGACTGCGGGTGTCTTCCTCAGGAGTGCAGGGACTGGAGGCTGGGGGTAGGAGGCCAGTGTCCACCAGTTCTATGTTACTGAGCCAGGGTAGCAGGTAGGAGAGCATAATCTGTCTGCCGTTGGGATGGGTGGTTGGGAAACGCTGACTCACCTCTGCATTGCAAGAATAAAAATCACAACAGGGGAATTATGGATGTACAGTCTGTGCCCCAAGGAAGATTAATTTTGTTTCAGTGTTCATAAACAGAAATACACATTGGATGTTAACTGCATATAAAAAGGTCTTTCAAAGATTATTATGGTAAAAAATCATTTTAGTTGTTTTGACAACTTTTCTGGTTGTTTCAGCATTTAACAGATAATAGTTCAAGACAAGATAAAATTAATAATTTAGTGTTTTACTTTCTAATAGTGTAAAATACTGATTAAGCATTCACACTGTTGATTTCCTAGGTTTATTATTCCTCACGTTTTTTTGCAATCAAATAACCTCTGCATACTTTGGGCGGCTGTTGCTGAGTGGTTAGAGCAGTCGTCCTCCAATGCGAGAGTTGGGGGTTCGACTCCACCAGCAGTCACATGCAGACGTGTTCCTGGGCAAGACACTGAACCCCTCATAGCCTCTGATGTGTGTCCCATCGGTGTATGAATGTGATCTAAAGCACTGATTAGTCTCATTAGAATGATTTGTTCAATTAGCTTTGTACAGATCTAGTGCTGTGTGAATGGGTAAATGAGGCACAGATTGTAGAGTAAAGTGCTTTGAGTATCTTGAAATAAGATAAAAAAGCGCTATATAAATACAGTCCATTTCACCATTTTACTTGGTACTATTTTTGCGATTCATACATCAGAACATTCATTAAATTCAGGAGATGGGTGATATGACATTTGAATTGTTTTTTAATAACTTTAACATTACAGAAAATATCTAAATTCATTAAAAAGTATGATCGTCATAAAGAACTATTAAAAACATTGTTCTCTTTGAAAACTCTTGCTGTATACTTTATTTTCTGTCTTTTTGATTCCTTTTTTTTTAGCTAGCCTTTTACTATTTTAGCTAAAGTGTTGCTACTTTTATTTAGCATTTTGCTCCTGTTAGCTTTTAGCAAGCATTCTGCTTCTTTTAGTATTAATAACTCAGTTTCAGCTACTATGACACTCAGATTTTTGAGGTGGATGTGGCTGAGTGGTTAGAGCAGTCGTCCTCCAATGCAAGAGTTGGGAGTTTGATTCCACCAGCAGTCATATGCTGAAGTGTCCCTGGGCAAGACAATGAACCCCTCATTGCCTCCGATGTGTGTCCCATCAGTGTATGAATGCGATAAAGCACTGATTATTCTTTGTATAGATCTAGTAGAGTGCTGTATAAATGGGTAGATGAGGGCACAGATTGTGTTGTAAAGCACTTTGAGTATCTTGATAAAATAGAAAAGTGCCATTTAAGTACAATCCATTTAGCTTTTGCGCTGCATTTTCACAGAAAATATAAGTTCTCTAGTTTTTTAATCCATTGCTGCTTATTAAACCATTGAGTCTAGAAAAACATGGTGTAGTTGAGCATTTTCATTTACACTTGTTGAAGCATAATATTTCAGATGTACAAAACAAACAGAATGGTGCAGAAGTTGACCTGCTTCCTGTACTCTATATTTACAAACTTGAAAGGAAAAAAAAGCACTTTGTGATACTAAGTGTTCCAAATAGCAGTGTAGTGCATATAAACTTGTATATTTGTATAAAATAAAGGACTTACCTGAGAACAGAGGCAACGTCAGCTCTGGGTACATGCTGGCGAGCTGGATGGAGAGCTGAGATAGGTTGACGCTGTACAGTGGAGGCATGGGGCCGTGTGTTCCGTACAAAATATTCCCCGGCTTCTGCTCCACCATCCTCTTAGAGTATGCACAAAGTCTGGTCTCCAGCACCTGCACATGTAGATTTATGTTTACTGACTGTATCTTTTCCACGTCCTTTTATTTTGTTCTCCAAAAGTTAATAAAGGAACACTATCATACCTGCATCAGCTGCATAGAGATTTCATATATTTCTCGGTTGCAGTCTGAGGCCTTAAACAGCACAAGATTCAGCAAAGTCACCAGGTCGAATGGGTAATTTCTGGCAAAATAAGTAGAGAATGTATTAATCACAGATACAATAATGGAATCCATGAGTAGCCACACTTTAATCGTCACCATTACCATAACAAAGACAACATCTCTCTCCTGCTTTTTCTCCTTCCCAGTAAGCTCTGACACATGCACAGTAGGGTACTTACTACAACTTAACACTGAACCCATAAATAAGGTATGATAGAACTTTACTGATCCCGCAGGAAATTGTTAATGTTAGCAGACGTGGAGTCACTGTATATTAAAGTGACATATGTGATAAAAATGACTGACCTGTTGCCACAGACTGTAGCAATGGCCTTGAAGCAGCCAGATGCCAGTTGGTGAGATCCGGTGAAGCAGCGATCCACAGCCCAGTTGAACAGATTAATCTGGTCTGGATTCAGTTCTAAAAGCAGAATGATCACCTCACATCCTAGACGGTGCACCTAATGACAAACAAGATTTAATTTAGAGGCGATAATACGTGAAAGGAAACAGCGATTAGACTATTATTGAAGGAAAACAAAACGATTACCAAGCAAAGACAACAGTAGGTCTGAGACACCTACCCGTAAGTCATGACAGGCCAGAATGTTGTCAAGCCATTTGTAGAGATAACCATCGGTAGAGAGGCCCACATTGTCAAAAACCGGACCACAACACAAAACAGCTGACATGGCCTGGAAAACAAAAGCTGCATTAATGCTAAGATTCTTATAAATACACTAGAAGAAAAAATATCAGCCTGTGTTGTGGAGTGCAGTTTGGGGGTGTGGGTACTGCTTACCTTCAGAGCACAGTACTGATAGCGAGTGATCTGATGGTTACGATCACTGTAACGATCCAGAGGAGTGAACATAACACTGAAGGGTCCGGCCCACTGGCTGAAGAGGATGAAAAGATGATGTCTAAGAGACTGCTGGGGGAAGAGGAAGCGCCTGTTCTGAACTGTAGAGAAGTGGGAGTCAGAGACACAAAGGGTTAATGTGAGAACCAAGACAAGAATGAAAGGAACTTCTAGAAACCCAATGCATTAGGACAACACATAGTACCATTAAAAATAATTTACCAGGAATACACTGGATGAGATTTGCCACCATTCCACTGAAATGAGCTCTGATGTCTTTAAGCACATCCAGCTCCTTCTCATTTTCTGCCTCTAGAAGCATCCGGGTCAGATCCACGTATTCTAGGAACAAAGCACCCAGTGCCAGGGAGTCACGCTCCAGAGCCCCGTTGGTGCTTTAGAAAAGAAGAGACCAGGCGTTACAAACGGGGACAAATAAGAAAAGTGTGTGCATGTACCCAAACAAATAAAAAGACCCTAAATGCATACAGCTGCTGTGTGTTTACCTGTCACTGATAACGCCTGCGTTAGCCAACAGTTCAAATATCCTCAGCAGCTGCAGCCTGAGAAGATCCCTCCTCTCTCTCCGCTTTTTATTCTGAAAGCAGAGAATTCAGACAAAATTTATTTTTATTGTTCAAACACATCAGGCCATAAACATTTATATGATCTAATATTTATGTTGTCAATGTAAGGTGGGCAAAAAATTAGCATCTATGTGAATGATAAGGTGCTGTATTTCCCAGCATTGTGGCAAGATAAACCAGTCAGTGGTCATAATATAATGGCTGATCAGAGTATTTAGCATGTTTATGCTAGGCTAGTTTTATTTTAAACACATTTTATAGCAAGAAGACAATAAACAATCCCATCAGGAACCAATAATTTTAATCTCATTTTACTTCTGCGATGTGTTGCTCTGTTTATATGCGTTTCAGTGCGTTGGTCACCTCAGGCCGCCGTTCCAGCGCTTCCTTCATCAGTGGATGGAGCTCTTCAACCAACTCCCTGTAAATCAGACACAACAGTAATCAAATGATTACCTCATCAATGAGTGGCTATAAAAGAAGAAAGCAAACCTTTGCTTCTTGTACATAATAAATAAAATTGCCTCGCTTAAAGAAACAGTACGAATTTGAACAAACAATTTATAGCGACACAAGTGCTTTGTGTTTAATATTTTTGTCTGATGTAAGACTTAATGTCTTTGAAAACATGTTTGTTTTCTTCAGAAGACATTCTGAGTTAAAAATAGATAATCCTTTTAAAATGAAATACCTTCCTAACACAATAGAAGATCTGTTCTTTAAAAAATATGCAACATTTCTTTCCCTCTACAAATTCCTTTCTACACCAGAGACACGGTTTTCCTTCTTCTGTGAATGTCACAGAGGTATGCCATCTATTCAAGCTACGACAGCAATGTAGAGTAAGTAATAGGTGCGAGGAGAGTAAAAACACTAACCAAGGCTGTCCTATGTAACAGATAGCATCGCAACTAGCATGTGTGCGTTTGCGCATGTCTGTGTTCAAATACCTGAAGACCAGAGCATTTGTGCATCCAAACCCCAACAGAAGAGACTCTGTGATCTCCAGGCTCTCAGCTCTCATGAGCGGGACAAGTTGTTTTAATAGCCAGGCCACAGAAGGAGTGCCAATCACCTTTAACAAAAACACAAACATTTTACACATATACACAAATCAAATAACACAAAAACCCTGATCAAATTATAACACACCTTTTCATAATGTTCTTATTTTTAATTAAGCCCACAATTTCCTCATTATACATGTAACAATGCCACATTCAACATTCTTTATTCATTAAACCTAATATTTTAGCCTAGTATTTTAGTGTCTAATAAAATGTTGCTTAAAAATAACAAATAAATTCTTACAATCATAATAAGCACTTCCACTCAACATTCTATGTACAAAAAAAAAATCAATTAAATAATAAAATCTACTGACAATAGGCCTTCTGACTATTTCTATTATGATCCATACAATCAGTGTCTATTTTTATGATAGGAAATTCAATAAAAAAAAACTTTTTAGATAATTAGGAATGTCTGTTTTTTTTTTTTAAATTCTAAATACTGACCTTGTTGTCGTAAGTGATGCTGCCATCAGGTGTGGTTGCGGTGATTTCAGGTGTGGAGGCCCTGAGGTGGCCAGGCGACATGATGCTGGGCTTGGCCACACCCAGACACAGGATCAGATAATTACGCCAGAGAGAAATGTAGTTGTCGTTGGAACCTGCCGTGCTGGTCTTCTTTGCATTCACTGGACTGCTGCAGAAAAACAGGTGAAGAAGAAGAAAACCTAAACCTCAATAAAACATTGTAATTTCCTGAACTACTTCTTCTTCAAACTTGTGTGTTTTTGTACTTGGGGTCCACGAGAGGCAGCAGCAACTGTAGCCGTGTGAAGACGTAGGGCCAGGCATATCCCAGAGCAGTGGAGCAGTGTTTGGGTAGGTGCTCTTGTCGCAGGAAGATGTGCAGACAGAGCACCCATGGGTCCTTTACGCACTGCGCAAAGATCCAGACGTGGCTCGGGCTCTTTACGTCATATGAGCTGCTCATCAGTCGAGCGGTCCACTCCACCAACCACTGGAGGTCAACGTGGTGGCTGAGGGGCAACGTGGACTGAAGCAGGCAAGAGGTAGAGTTTAGGAGAAACACTCAGAATCAGTCCTATGTACTTTTGTATTGTATTGAATCTGAAATACCAATTTTACTCAACACTCACCGAGTCAGAAACTGCTACATGAACAAAGCTGTCCATCACAGCAGGGCTCAGCTGGTCCATGACCTCTATCATGGGTTTGTCATCGTCCTGTAGGGTGTGATATTTATATAATCAGTTATTTTTATAACAGCATGACACAATGTGAACAAACTTACAGGCTGCATATACTGCATCTCTAAACCCATCTACAGCCAGACAGGCCTTCTGTCATCTATTTTCCATGTGTCTTCTCTGTCTTTCCTAACCACCTGCAACCAACCTCCTGATCTATTCACTGATCTTGTTATCTAATTATTTTTGCAAAGTATTAGTCTAATCCAATGGAAGATAACTCGCTCTTAGTTCACTGGGTTTAGATGTGAGATTTCTGTACCTCAGCATGTCCCAAAGCTGTGAAGAGGCAGCGTATTTCTCTCAATACACCAACTGCCAGCTTCCTCGTGCTGATCTGACATGAGCAGAGCAGCAGCAGGGCCAGTCCTTCAACGGCATGGAGCACAGAGCAATGAGGGCTTCGCTCTGGCAGCCGTGGGCTGGTCTGTTGGACAGAGTGGACAAAGAACAATGAGATTAAACAACAATTCACACTTTCTGAACACCATCTCAGCAGCCACAGCTGTTGAAGATGCTTCACCTATATAATTAAATGGAATAAAACTGAGTTGTATCTGAAATTGTGTTAAAAGACAGAACAGTAAAGGTTTAAATGTTAACAGAAAATCTACAATTTTTCCAAAAATGCAGTGTGAATGCTGAGTGCTGAACGACTTTACTAAAATTAGCTAAAAAGCTAAAAATCTGTTGTTAAAGCTAACAGCAGAACACCAGCTGAAAGCTAAAAAAGCAACAAGTTAAATAAAAGTAGGAAAACAATAACAACATCCATCCATTCATTATCTTCCGCTTGTTCCAAAGTCGAGTCGGAGGGACAGCAGCTTGAGCAGGGAGGCCCAGACATCTCTTTCCACAGTCACCTCTTCCAGCTCTTCTTGGAGTACCCCAAGGCATTTCCAGGCCAACCGAGAGACATAATCTCTCCAGCGTGTCCTGGGTATTCCCCGAGGTCTCCTCTCAGTCGGACATGCCCAAAGCACCTCCATAGGGAGGCACACCAGGAACATCCTTACCAGATGCCCAAATCACTTCAACTGGCTCCTATCAATGTGGAGGAGCAGCGGTTCTACTCAGAGTCTCTCCTGGATAACTGAACTTCTCACCCTACCTCTAAGGGCGAATTCAGCAACCTTGCAGAGGAAACTCATTTCATTCACCTGCATCAACGATCTTGTCCGTTTGGTCATTACCCAGAGTTTGTGGCCAAAGGTGAAGATAGGCACGTAGCTCAATAGGTAAACAGAGGGCTTTGCCATTGTAGATGAACAGATGCTGGGATATATTCATCATTTAACGCGGGTTCCTCATTTTTCTGGACTGAATAAAACGTGCATTGAATTTAAGGAAATGCAAAGTGAGACGTCATTTAAATTTGACCCATCAAAATGAATGCGGTCATTTATTTACAGAATCAAATTTAACATCAAACATTTACATTAATTTGGCAAATTATGAAAATAACAACAAAGCAATCAATCAGGAAAAATCATACGGCCATGATTTTTCCGTTGCTGCACCACAGACATTTATAAACTGTACAACTATGATCTTTTGCCCACACGGATGTGAATAAGCACTTTACACAGACATTTCTAAATATCTGGGAGAATTTCTACTTCATAGGAAAGTTTAAAGATGGAAAGAAGTTTAGAGGGAGTAAAGGATGGGGTTTGAGGGAAATTGAATGTTACCAGAACCGACACTCTCCATCAGAAGCCCAGCTCGCCTCGGTACGCTTGGTAGGAAACTTGACCCATTACCTCTCTGATGATAATCAGCAGATATGGTGTTCCGTTAACGCTACCGGTGCAGCGTCTCCTTAGAATGGCTGTAGCCCGTCAGAAGTAGTGGCGAGGCTCTGTTCGACACACATTAACCTCAGTGGAAAATGTTATAATCCCATGGAACTCGGAAGAGCTTCGTTGTCATGTCAGGAACTCCAACAGCACTCCATCAGAACTTTAGCTCTCGTGTAGTTTACAGAACTCCCACAGAACTGACTAGACCAGGAAGTACTGACATTTTAAAGACTCTTTCCCGGTTCACTTTTTGGGATTTTTCATTGGTCAGAAACGACCAGAAGGGGTGTGTTTTTGTGACGTAATAGGTTAGAGACAGCGAGAATTGTTATGGGACAGCTCAGAAATGTTCTCACAGACCGAGAGGGTTTGTTGTGGCGTGTTTAAGAAACAGGTGCAAAACATCTCTATTTACGTCTGAGAGGATTCTAAAACATGACAGTTTTAACATAACAACTTGTTTTTCGTTTGACTGTAACCTTGTAAACGCACACACTTGCTCATTCAAAAGCAGAAATCAGAAAAATGCATAATTACTCTGCAACAGCTTTTAACATGAGTTCTAACTTTTGCATGAGAATAAAAATCATTACTCAGTTAATAAAATTGATTAGTTCACTGCAACATCTAAAATGGTTTGAACTAAGACACTTTGATTATCAACATTTGTAAGATAGTAATGATAATAAAAAGAGAGTGTTCTTTTCACTTGAATCTTCAAGAAAGAAAGTCTCAGGATGGGTGAACCTGTATCTATGTATTCAAATACATGAAATGACAGTTCCTGTCCCACAAGGTTCTTAAGGTCAAGAGTTTTGACCTTAGACTGGGTTTCGACGTAGGCCTAGTCCACTACACCATACAGCTCAGCTCCCTCTTTACCACAATGCATCAACACAAAGCCTGCAAAACTGCAGATGCTGCATCAATCCATCTGTCAATCTCACGTTCCATTCTTCTCTCGCTCGTGAACAAAACTCCAAGATACTTGAACTCCTCCACTTGAGGCAGAACCTCACCCTCAACCCAAAGAGTTCAATCCACCCTTTTCCGAGAACCATGGCCTCAGATTTGGATCCTTATCCCAGCCGCTTCACACTCTGCTGTGAACCGCTCCATTGAGAACTGAAGATCACAGCACAATAATGCCAATAGGATCACATCATCTGTAAAGCGCAGAGATGGAATCCTGAGGCCAACGAAACAGATTCTCTCCACCTCCCTGGCTGAAGTGATAAATTTTGTCCATGGAATTTATAAACAAAATCAGTGACACTGGGCAGCCCTGGGTAAGTCCAACACCCACCCTGAAGGGGTTCGACTTACTGCCGGCAATGCAAACCAAACTCTCAAACTACTTATATAAGGACCAAAGAGCTCGTAGCGACAGGCCCCCAATCCCATAGTCATGGAGCACCGGGTCCAAGTTTTAAAAATGGTGTCAGGAAGTTAAAATATTGTTCACTATTGACCCATTACAAAGTTGAATAGACAGTATTTTAACTAGAGTTGATGACAAACTGGAGTTGAAGTGATCAGAGTCTATTCCTTTGTTAGGTCTAATGCTCCTTTTTCTAGACAGACAACTTTTACTTAAATGTGTTTACTGCAGTTAAAATGACACATTGGTTTTGCTTTGTGTTAAATAGAAACTTTCAAAGGTATAATCATTCCTCTTTCTTATTTTGATTAATGGCATTTAACTCTGCAGGTCATCCCTGAAATTCTGACACAGAATCACAAGTCCAAGTGTGAACTGTGTCACAGAGTAAACACAATAAAAACATGTATTATCTACAGCAAATGGCTCAACATTATTAATGTATTACAGAAAATATACATACAGTAGGCACACTTAAACATATTGTAGACCATTGCATTAGGTAATACATTCAGCAAGTACTTTTACTTTTAATACTTTAAGTATTTTAAAAGCAAGTACTTACTTACTTTTACTTAAGTAAAAATGTTAATGTGGTACTTCTACTTTTACTAGAGTACATTTTTGTCTGCTTATTTGTATTTTTTACTTAAGTACAGTGTTTGAGTACTTTCTCCACCACTGCCTAAATGTAACAAAAGGCTAGCAACAACTGTATGACAAAAACCATCAGGAAAACCATAGTGTGAATGCTGATTCAGCTTTCACACCAATAAAGTGTATATTTTTCAGTTGTAAGTGGGTAAAACAGCTTTCTGCCATTGTTGCAATCTACTAACCTCAACTCCACCTCGCATCTTCCCCTGGAGCTGCAGCGCTAACCTCCACTGTCCTAGCAGCTGGAGAAGGAGCTTCACAGAGGCATCTTGCAGACCCTGATGAGTATCTTGGACCTTACAGAGTTCGATAAAGGACATTTATAAACACAGTCAATATTATGTTAAAACATTTACTCTTTGTTTTAGGAAATTATTTATGACATCTGCATTACATTTTGACAGATTAGCAAATGCAGGTTACACTGAAATATAGATTTTTTTTCATTCAGAAATCTCAGATATAAGACAAGTCAGTGTTGTGTCTTATGTGTTATAGTTTTGCACAAATAATCTGTGCATGATAAGCATGTTTGCTGTTGGTTTACCATTCAAATATTAGGAACATTTACGACAAATATCAATATTATTTCTGATGTTTACATGTTTTTAAAAATAAATAATATTAATCACAGAAAACAAAAAAACAAACAAACAAAACAAAACAACACAGTTCTGCTGTACCTCACGTAACAGAAAATGTGTGTATCCAAACAAGACGTCTTCCCTCCAGTCTGAGAAATCAAGTAACAGGCTCTGCAGGGAGTTCTGGGAAATGAGACGAAGCTCATCGTCCATGTGCACTGTAAGTCTTAGGAAAGGTATAGAACATCCTAAATTAATCAGAGCATCAATGGGCTTTAATATGTTTCATGACTCATCTGACATAAAAAAAATAATCTGTTAAAACATGTGAAAATAGTCTGTGATAATTATAAGGGATCGAACTGAAACTCACCGTGAAAGCAGGTCGATGAGCTCAGGCTTGGACATGCTGTCAGGTAGAATACGAGGAATGGCAGCAACACATGTCCTGAACAGATCAATTTTAGGCTTCCTTTCTCCACTAAAGACAGAGGGACACAGGCTTATTTGCAGAAGCCAAAAACTTTCAAATATTAAAAGGATTAGAAACTTGTTAAATTCTTCCTCTTCAAAGTGTAATTGCATACGTGATCATGTCCTCTGGTTCTTTGTTGAGCATCTGGGCACAGGTAAGCATCATGCATCGGCCCACCTCTTTGTCTAAGTGTCTGAGGATGTTATCCAGAGACTTGCGCACCTGGGAGTAGTACAGAGACATGCCTGCAAACAGCAGATAGAGTTCACAGATCACAGAGTTGGAGAGAACAGTCAAATTACAGCAGACTAAGGGCCTGCAGACAGACAGACCTATTAGTTTGGCTTCCTCTTCAGTAAGAGTCTTGCTGAGATATGTTTTCTTTTTTTTCAAAGAGTTTCCCGAAGGCAGAGTTGCTCCTGTGTTGGGCATGGGGGGTTCTCCATCCTTTTGCTGTAGAGCATCTGCTATCACCAGGAACGCACGCAGACCAATGTTCATACGCTAAAGGAAAGAGCAAGCAAAGCTTTTGTGCCATTTGTTCACCAAAAGCAGTGAAGTTATTAGAAGGGCTTGAGAAAAGTCTCCAATAGAAGTGAATCCTACAGTAAAAAAAATTGGTAAAATGTTGGAAAATGCAATAAATCCATGTTGCTCACTTGGCAAGCAATCTATTGTATGTAAACAAAAGGAAGCTTAGCGCCAGATAAATCTAAAAGCATTACTTTCCAACAGCTTTAAGTCATTGTTCTTGAGCAATTAACCCCAAGTTTCTAACAGAAAACTTGCTTTTTCAACCTAATTCTAAACAATAAATGCAATGTCAGCAGACATACACTGTTGAAAAATTGTGTAATAGCGTAAATGAACGTCCATCATGTTACCTCTGGGTTGAGACTGAAGGCTTTGGCGGGCTTCCCCACACTTAACAGATCAAATATGATTTCCTTCATGGCAAAATCCAGTCTCTCCTGAAAAGAGGACAAAGATACATGGGGTTTCATATGTAACACGAGCACGTAATGTTCTTACTGATACTCTATGAATAAAAAAAAACAACAAGATAAGATAAGTGCAATGTGTTGTCATCATTGTACTGTATGTTCCCATATAATGGTGAAACTGGTTCTCTGCATTTAACCCATCGCACCTGGGATACACCCAAGTGGAGTAGTGGCCAGCTTTGTAAGCACCCAGAGAGCAATTAGGGATTAGATGTCTTGCTCAGAGACACCCCGACATGTGGGGAAGGCTGGGGATTGAACCTGGGACTTTCGGGTCTCGAGTTGGCTGCCCTACTTCTACCTCATCTCGGCCCACGGAAAATAAATAAATAAATAGAATTAAAAAACTTTTATTAAACTTAGACCTGTAAAAGTATACACTCAGATTGCTAAAAGACAGCAAGAAGTCAAAAGAAGCAAGACTTTTGAAGACTAATCTTCAAAACTCTATTCTGTTACAAATGAATGATGTCTCAAACATATCCTAGCTTATATTTATGGTCATGGCAACATATTGTTATTCAGCTTTAAAACCTGGCTCAGTCAATAGTCACACAAAATGGATCACAGGCGAGGACAATCTCAATTTATTTCTAAATATATATTTTACATGTTAATTATACCCACCTGAGCAATAAACTGGATGATCTTGACAAAAATATTAAGGGGCATGTCTCTGGGCACAACACTTCTACTCCCTTTGGGAAACAATGTGGAGGTGATGGACGTCAGACGGCTAAAAGAAGACGAGAAGAACAACACATTCTTCTGAATTATTTATGTTGTTCTTTGTTGAACGACTAAAGCAGGGCTATTCAACAAAACTGCTCAGGGGGCCACAGTTTCTGAAAACCAGCAGCTCAGGGGCCGGACATCCAGCGATTAGTCATGATGTAAATAAACCAAGTTTTACAATTATCTGTTACCTTTTAAATTTGTTTATTTTATTGTATTGAATCATAAATGCAATAAACAGAACCCAAAACTCAAATCCAGACCCCCCCTCAATTTCATTTTATTTTATTTTTTAATGAAGTGGGCAAGATTGAAGTTCCGGCCCATGGGCCGTCAGTTGAATAGCCCTTCTCGAGGTAATAAAAAATAAAAAAAACAAGCACAAATACGGTAATCATTAAAAGAAAATAAATAAATTGATGTTATATTTCACAAAATTTACATTACATGACAAATTCCAGCTAATTTAATAATATGTTGAGGTTAAATGTTTTTAGAATAAAGTCACATGGATTGAGGAACAGAAAGTATATACAGCTCTTACCTCTGTGTTGCCGTGTTGCTCTCACACTTTATACGGATCATGTAGACCCACAGCAGGCGGTAGAGTGATTCTAGTGCCACACGTGCCATCTTTGGATCTTTGTTCTGCAGTCAGACACATAGAGATTTAAAAAATCTGTCTTTTGTGACATATGACTAATTTTACAACAGTTTGCTTAATATAAATTATTTATCTAGGCTAAAATTACTAGCAGTTTAATGAAATATGATCAACATTTTACGGTCTTTGATGATTTACTGTATAGTCAGGAACTTGTTTACAAGTTTTCTGAGCCTCCGTCATTGGTTTTGAAGACGAAAAGGCACAAGGTGGTGCAAGTGTTGAACTTCTTTGTCACTTGATCGAACTGATTCCCAGTTTGAAGACATTTTCAGTGCAGTTTATACGTTTCAGTTTGTTAGCATAACACTATTGCAATAGAAAAAGAAATTATTCTTGCATTTACATGGTGTGCACAGAAATGCTGACCTTGAGGTTTGAGAGGCAGTTGTTTAGAAAAATGTGCCACCGGCTGAGGAAGAACTGCTTCTGACTGACGCACAGCAGGCACGTCACCAGAGGGTACAGAGCCTGGTGTGGAGAGAGACATCAGAGAGGAGGAGGGGTAAGGGAATCGAACCTTTAAGATTATCAAAGTCCATCTATCCATTATCTATACCCGCTTCTTCTTTTCTGGGTTGCGGGGTTCATATCCAGCAGTCACTGTATGAGAGGCGGGGGACACGCTGGACAGGTCTCAAGTCCATCACAGGGACACATAGAGACAAACGAGACAAACAACCCATTCACTCTCTCACTCACACCTAGGGACAATTTAGAGTTACCAATCAGACTAACATGCATGTTTTTGGTCTGTGGGAGGAAACCGGAGTACCTGGAGTAAACCCACGTATGCACGGAGAGAACATGCAAACTCCACCCAGAAAGACCCCTGGCCGGGATTTGTTCGGGCGACCTTCTTGCTGAGAGGCAACAGCTCTACCAGCTGTGCCACATCAAGTCATTTAACATACCATTTTTAAATTCAGGATAAAAAAGGAACATTTCAAAAATACAAGAGCAACAGCAGAATACCATCACCAAATATAAACAGAAGAGGACAATACTTTAAAACACCATCGGACTGCTGTCTGATGGTGTAAATGCTGTTTTAGTTATTTTCTAGCTTTTTTATTTTTCTATGTGTCTTTTGTAATTTTACTTTATACTTCGTGCTTTTTTACCATTCATATGTCAAATCAATCAGCTTATTTAGCAGAAGGGTGAAACAAATTTTGTTTTTGTAAATTTCAGTCTTTATAAAATATGTAACTTTATTTACATTTTTTTCTCCATAAAACTGAGTTCTTCAGTTCCTTCATACACGTGTTTCTATTGACATTCGTTTCAGCAGCCGGGCTCTATTTTTGTCTTTTTATGCAACTTTTAGTTTTTAGCTACCAGTCTGCTACTTTTAGATTTTGACTAATTTTTTTTCTACTTTTAGCCAGCTTTTTTCATCTTTTAGTTTATAACTAGAGTTTTGATCCTTTAGCTAGCCTTTGTTGTTTTTATTTAGAATTTGAAAACTTTAGCTTTGGGCTTATCTTTTGTTATTTTTGGCTTTTAGTTAACCTTTTTATATTTTTAACTTTTAGCCAGCCTTTTGCTACTTTCAGCTTTAGCTAGCCTTTTTTTCATTCAATCTTTATTTATACAGGTTAGTCTCATTGAGCGTCGAGGACTCATTTACAAGAGAACTGAATTTTGTTAGCTTTAGCTAGCCTTAAGTTGATTTTAGTTTTAGTTGGCCTTTTACATTTAGTTAGTATTTTGCTTCTAGTTAGCCTTTTGCTGCTTTTAGCTTAAGCTAAATTTTAGCAGCTTTTTGCTGATATATTGTTACTAATGACCTCTAACTAGCATTTAGATTCTTTAAGATTTTAGCCAATGTTTTGCTCTTTAAGCCTTTAAATGTAACAAGTGTATTTTCAGTCATTAGGCTCTTAGCGTCCACTCAAACTACATTTCTGTAGTTTGTTCTGTTTCCACGTCATTTCTTAACTGGAATGTTTTCCTAATGAGCTGTGTTAGTCCAGGATTAACTCATGTCATGGAAGTTTTTGCTAATGTTAGTTTTGAAAAATACACAGAATACCAAGCACTCCTTATCTCTGTGGGTGTTTGTTATCTGTCTCTCAGCCATCTCAGTACCTCCTCTCACTCAGGCACTGAGGAATGTAAAAGCAAAACAATTAAGAAACTGCATCACATTTCTGTCATTTCTGTCGTGTCTGTCCATTCAGCTTTAGCTGACACATCAGGTTATAGTTAGTTTGGGTGCATGCCTGAGTCTTGTTACTTTGTGAAGAAAACAAAACTTTTATGTAAAGAGAGAGGTGTGTTTAGATGTCTGGCTGCATGTGTGGCTTGGAGTATTTGGAGAATCCGTTGAAAGAAGCGTGAGGACCAGCAGAGCAGTATATCTGCAGCCCTGAGGACACCAACAAGGAACTCCTGCACAAAGCTGAAACAGCACATCAGCAGCTATAATGTAGCGCAGCAGCTATGTGACGCTGCTTGTTAGCAAACATGTCTGTCAAACATCTGTGGAATATGTTCCAGTGGTGTGGAAAAACAAACGTCTGCTAACTGACAGTGAATTCTTTTGCTTTATCTTGAACCACCAAAAATCATTCACAACACATTCTCTAAGCGCTAGAAGATCGTCCTTGCAATATTGCATGTTATTTTTTTTGGGTTTGAACAACTACACTATGTTTTTTCTCAACATAGGATACTCTCAGTCTGAAACTCTGATATGAAAAGCGGTGGGTGATATGCATGCCTTTAAAGAATGCTAGGTATTTTACTTATTTCTGAAAACTCGTGATTCAAGAAAGCTCTACAAAGAGAACCCAACTAAACAAATTTCCAAAAATATTTGACTTGGTGACATTTTTGGGAGGGGAGAATGATCACAACTATAATAGCAATTGGCAAAGTATGCAAACATTGGTGCGCGTGGCAGGGGGTGAAGAAAAAGCTATGCTACTGCTATGAGCAGTTTGCTAAATATTTAGGAATCAAATCAGTAGGACTTTGAAAAAAGTACTTGTGTGGAAACCCAACATGAATTTTTAATGATATTAGTATCATGCAGAAATGTTGTGGAAGGACTTGAAGAGAGCGGTGTCAGTGCAAGCCATCAAAATATCTGAGTGAAGTTCAGGTTGACGTGCTGCTTATCAACATTTAGCAATTAGCCACCATTGTTGCTGCTTGTCTGTCTGCATAACATCTCATGAACCACTGGATGAATTTTAACAAAACTATCAGAAAGTAATCGATGCACATCTACAACTGAATAACTTTCAGAGTCAGCCTGAATCAAGATGGTTGCCAAAGCTGATCGACATTGTATGCTTGTTCTGTTGAGACCATTTCTTTTAAAAGAGAGCTGAACTACATCTAGTACAATTCCTCCACCTGCCTCAGTGCTGTAGCCAAATAATGCCCATCTGGCAACGCTTCAAAAATCGCCTGTCTGCACCGAGCTGCACTGCTTTAATCCTTTGCACGGAGAGATAAAAGCCCACGTGTTGCAGTTACAGTAAGTGCTTTTACCAATTGTTATTAATGGAGCGGAAATGAAGAGAGATGACGAGGGATGAAACACAATTTGGTGAGAAGCCTACCAGAGAGTGTTTCTTCCTGGAGGACAGGTCCAGAGTGGTGTCGTACAAACTCTCTACAAAGTTTCGCAGACATGGGACGTTCACCTCATTCTTCACGGTCTGGAAGAGAAAAGACAAAGATTATTTTGTTGCATGCCAAAAATATATTTTATAAATAATAATTAAGTATATTAAATATACTGGCATTTGTCTTGAATATTAGAACTATAAATTGCACAAGTATGTCATGAAAGAGTTGAAACAGAGACGTTTAATCTGAATCTAGTTTTGTGTGCAATTACATTGTTCTGGGAGATAAGCAACACATTGCACTTACAGCAGCCACTGGTACGAGTATTTCAACAAAGAGTCCAGCTAATGAGTGTTTAATGTCTTTATCCTTCACTTCCAAGAAATACTGTGCACACTCCTGCAGGCACAAATAGGTAAAGAATCAGGGGCAGTGACAGACACAATACATAACTAGAGAAATTGCATTTCCTGCAAAAATGCAGTGTGAATGCTTATTACAGAAGAACTTTGTTGAAAAACAGCTGAAATTAGCTAAAAAAAACATGCTGAAATGTAGCTGAAATGGAAGAACAAACGTAAGTTAGTAGAAGTAAGCAGAAAGAACTCATATTTTCTGAATTAGGTTTAAATAAGCAAAAATTTGCATTAAAAAATAAGAAATTTACTAAAAAAAAAAGAAGAAGCTGAAATTAGCAAAAAGTAGCTGAAAATCCATAAAAAAGTTTAAACTACCAGGAGGAAGTGGAAGGAGCTTAAATGGGCACAAAAAGTGTGAAATTAGCTGAAAAATATTAAATTAGCATGCAAACAGCTAAATAGTAACTGAAATAGCAGAAAAAAGGGAAAGTAGCAGAAATAACTTGAAACGAGCATAAAAAGCTTAAATTAGCAGAGAAAAGATAATTAAGCTGAAAGTAGCAGAAATTACCACAAAAAAACCTTGAATTTATCTAAAAACAGCTGAAATTAGATAAAAATGCTAAAAATGTAGCTGATAAGGTAGAAGAAGCTTAAATTAGCATAAGAAAGCAAAACAACTAAAGAGCTGAAGGCTGAAAGAAGCAGAAGTGAACACAAAAAAGTGGAAATAATCTAAAAAAGCAGAAATTTGCAACAAAAACAGCTGAAAAGTAGCTAAAAAAATCAGAAAGAAGCTGAAATAACCAGAAGGAAATGGAGAGAGAGCACATTTTTGCTGAATTAGGCGGACAAAAGTTGAAATGAGTGCAAAAATATGGAATTAGCCAAAAAAGCTAAAATTAGCATAAAACAGCTAAATAGTAGCAGAAATATAAAAAAAAGGCTGAAACTTGCATAAATAAGCTGAAAGGAGCAGAAAGAAGTTAGAAGAAGCACAAAAATATTGTAGTTAACAGAAATAATCTTAAAGGATCACAAAAAAGCGGAAAAAACCCCAGCTGAAGGTAGCTGAAAGTAGCTGAAAATTTTTTAAATTTGCACAAGGGAGCTGAAAGAAGCTGAACCAGAACAAAATGTGAAAGGAGCTGTAAACAGATCTGAAAGATTTGAAGGATGTAAAATGAGCTCAATTCATTTTCTATGAGAACAAATTACAGAAAAGGCTAAATATTTCAAAAAGCTAGTTGCACCAATACCAAAAGTCATAGCACCCTTCTCCTGAATGAGCAGAACGCTTTGATTTATGATTTGTTGGAATAACTCAAAACTGTGGAACGAGAATGATGCCTTAAACGTACAGAAGAAAAACGGATCACAATAGTGTGAATGCTTCATAAACATACACACAATAACTATGTCCGTGTAAAGTCATTGGTTCAAATCCCTGTTTTGTCATGATGAAGGAAATAAGAAACATTCTGCCCCATTATTATCAAAGAGAAAACAAGCATTGCACTTGACTCAAGATTACTCCAGTGGTATTTAAGTAAACAGCTTCCAGATGTCAGTGGATGCACTCTGACACTGGGGTTGCACATGTTTTGGTATCCATCTCATCTAAACAGCAGCTAACCCTACCTGCATGAACTGGAAGGAGGCCTCAAAATCTTCCACTGGGTACATTTTGATACGAAAAAACTTGAGTCCCATAATGAGGCTGATGGTGGACTGGATAACATACGGGCTCTGCTCCTTCTGTTTCAGCTCTTTGAGCTCAGAGATGAACTTCTTCCTCACAGCTGGGAACCTGAAGGAAGGAGAAGGGGAGGAGAATGGTGACCAGATGTGAACAACTTTTCGATTCCCTGGAGTTTTAGTAAAAAGCCCAAAGTTTTGGCTAAATATCAGAAAATGTTTATCTTTGTGCATTTTGACTCTGTATTTGTTTCATGGAATGGGTGTGAGTGCTTGAGTGTGTGTTTGTATATTTCCTCATGATCCAGATATGTTTTACCAACAGCCCTAAATTTAGAATGGCATCTGGAGGGGTGATGCCGAGGGAAAAGAGCATGCGCTTTTATGTATTTGGACGTTTCACGCAGCTCTTGAGCAAGAGACAAGTTATCTGCCTCACATCTAATGCAGTGTGTCAACAAGACAAACACAAACGCCGATCCATAAACCAGAAAAACAAAACTGACAAAAAAAAGGTCTTGCATTTCTTGAAGAAATGCCAGGGCTTTAAATTAAAAATGTAGTATGTTGAGAAATGGTAGCTATTTAAACAAACAAACAAACAAAACGAACAATCTCACACAATTTTCAATTTTCACATGGTCTTGCATAATCTGTTAATGCTTGGAGTACATGTTGTGAAAAACTATCAGCTACTACTAGAACAAATTTTAACTCAATATCTGTAAAAGTGACTTTGACCATTAAACATTTTTGTGTTTGATAAGACTGATTAACTATGGTGGCCATATTGAATTGGGCTGACTCCAAAAGTTAATCAGTTTAATGCATACAGACAATAATTACAGTAAATTGTAAACGTTTTATCAAAATCAGTTCACTGATACATAAGATATGTTGCTAACAGGGCAGACAAATAAACACACATACACACACACAGACACATGAATAACATTATTGCTCTGTCTTTGCTTTTGGGTGCTTATAAAAGCACAAAACAAAAAAAATCATTATTTATAATGGACATCTGTATAATAAATAATCTGTAATAAGCTACTTTAAATAAATAAAATTGTTAAAGTTCGATTAAAAGTCTTAATAAAGTTTAAAAACATCATCATCTGAAAAGCAAAAAGTCTATTTTTATTGATTAGTCCTGAAAGTGCTGACTTGGACCCATTATTAATTTGATGACTGTGGTAATTGATGTGTGTCTGATGGTAGTCTCTGAGCTGCTTCATGAACACCAACCAAACAGTAATAAGCTCTCCTCCTGGAAAATGGGAATAATTTATCACACACAACATTACACAGTTAGAGGACCATCATCTAGAGAGTCACTATTCTGCTGAACACAAACACACACGTGCTTACCAGCACATAAACACATACTGACTATCAGAGCGCAGGGGAGAACGACTGTCATTACATTAATTTGCTCACTCATGCCGAAGTCCAACAGGCGGCGTTTGCCATCGCAGGAAATGAGGTCAATAAGAGGACAGGTAGTGACTTTAATTACAATTTTCATCTTCCATACGGATAAATAAGGCCATGGCGTCAACATGGCATGGATTAAAAAGATAAAAACAAAACTTGTGCCAATGTGCAAAATCAACAAAAACTAAAAACAATTACAGCATGTACAGTACCTGGACTGAGCTACAACTCCAACCACCTCAGCATAGAGGTCAGCCACAATGTGCATGTTGCCTGTGTTTGGCCCCAGATACCTGGAAGGACAAAACCTTTATCAGCATCAGTAAAATAACAAAACAAAAAAAACATACAGTGCTGGGCAGAGCTATGATAACAACAAAACAAACTTTAAGTTTGAATAAATTAATTTCATTCATTATTTCTGGTAGCTGGGCCTCTTACCCCTCCTTGTATTTGAAATGCTTAAAGGCGAGGTTTACAACTTCTTGAATGAGTCCATCCAAAAGAGGATGAAGAGGGATCTGGATTCATGAAAATAAAAATCAGATACAGTCTCAGTGGAAAATAACTTTTAATAAAATCTATACACTAAAGTAAACATTTTAAATCAATGATTTTTATTCTTTTTGAAGTCTGTATTTTTGTATAAACATGACTCGATCACAAAAATGTAAGAACGATTTTTGTTGCAAGTGTAAACTAAATGTAAACATCCAGTTTTTACAATGATGTCATATTTTCTCCATCCCATTTCAAATACATAAACCACTGTAGTTTCATTATTTTGTGTTTCCTTTTAGAAGCCAACATTAAAAACGACACCTGTTTATTTACATTATTCAGGCTATGATTTATGCTGCATCATTTGGCTGGCGACAAATGATTTCAATAACTCAGATTTTCCTGTTATGACATAAAAAAGTCTCAGAAGACTGATATAAAGTGATTGGTTTAATTAGAAATTATCTAGACATTGAGGTGCAAAAGCCATTTAAGTTACAGTTCATTCAGTATAATCTAAAAGTTAACGTTTTGGAATAAGATAACCAACAATGTTTATGTTCCCTGTTTTCCAAGAAATTCTGAACCCTTCGCTAAATAAGATTTTCTAATCAAAAACCTTTTAAAAATGTAACAGAATGGTGTTCTGTTAGAGTTTCTGAGTTGGGAGTGATGTCTGAAACAGCATCAAGCATAAAAAAATAGACAATTTCTAGACGTACCCTATTCTAATGGGCACCTCATGGGGGTGTTTCTGTTTTTAGTTTGCAGTTATCTACATGGTGTAGAGGAGACAGAGGAGTATAAAAACATTAAGCACACAGTGAAATGAGCCTCACCTGTTTCAAAACTTCTATAAGCACTAGAGAAAAAATGAAGTCTATAGCCAGATCCCTCCGCTCCAGTAAGTAGTCTTTTTGCTGCTCATCACTGAGACAGAAAGACACAGTCAGAAACATCAAGACAACCTCATTTGTTTCAACAGGGTTTATCCTAAACAGAACAACTCCAATAAAAGCTCCCATTTAAGCTCCTACTGGTTCCCGTTGTTGCATCAGTGTTTGCCATGCAAACGCTACCGTTTCCCATCAGGTACCAGTTGATATTTGCAACTTCTTGACCCACATTCTGATGAGTTCAGCTGGTTTCAACTTCAGAAACAAGTCATGTTTTGCTGTAAAGCAATAATCCAGAGTTGTTATATTAAACATTTCAGCAGTGATACAGTACAATATTATATCCTAAAAAAAATTGGTTTACAAATGTTTATTGTGCTTACAAGGTAGTGACTTAGTCTGAAATGTTAAATATAACAACGCCAGACGAAATATACAGTATAGGTAGCAAAATGGCTCACTATTTGGTAAGAAACTGATCAGTTATGTCTCTCTTTCACCCTTAATTAATGCATAATAAGCAGTTATTAATGATTTTTAAAGTGTTTATAGAGGAATTAATACCATATATATATATAAACTCTTTATTAGCCATCTATGGTAAATGGTAAATGGACTGTATATAGCTTCTTTCTATCTTATCAAGATACTCAAAGCACTTTACACTACAATCTGTGCCTCATTTACCCATTCATACAGCACTCCACTATATCTTTACAAAGCTAATTGAACAAATCATTCTAAAAAGACTAATCAGCGCTTTAGATCACATTCATACACCAATGGGACACACATCACATCGGAGGCAATGAGGGGTTCAATGTCTTGCCCAGGGACACTTTGCCATGTGACCGCTGGTGGAATAGAACCCACAGCTTTTGCATTGGAGGACGACTGCTCTAACCACTCAGCCAGCCTTATTGTAAAGTGGTACCGAATTCTTTTAAAAACCAGATTACTGTTAATAAAATAAGGGGATGAGGTAAATGATCGATATATCCTACTTTTATTATATCTCACTCATGTCTATAGCAGTTATTGTCACTGCTTCTCCTCCAACTTATTTAATAACGCATATCTAAATAAATTATGGTTAAAAAAACGAAGCTAAATCTGTTTCATGTGCGATTGTTTATTAGTGCTCTGTTGAACTCCCAATTCTTGTTTATTTCTTCAGCAGAAAAACTGTTTCTCTCACACAAGTTTGTGTTGGTGCGGATGACACAGCAAGGTGCAAAAACTGAGCGTGTGGGCTGCTTGTGTTCTCTCACTTTTTGGACTTGGTGTTGGCTCTGGGTCGGTACTCGTGGGACTCATCCTCAAGACCGTTCTGCCTCTTGTACCAATCGAACAGAGTCTTTAAGATGGACGGCAGGCAGTACTCAGCTAGCGAGCTCATAGTGCTGATTAGCTGTGCAGAGATAATGAAAACAGGTTTTTGTCTCTTTTAATAACCAAGTTAGACTACAAACTAGATTTGAGAAACATAAACAAAATAAGCTGATCTACGGGAGGCATGCACACCTGGTCAAACTGCGGGTCTTCTCCTCTCTGCAGAGATTTGTTAAGTGGTTTCTCCTGTTAATAATGAACACATAAAGGGTAAAGCATTAATGACGGACAGCAAAAATTCTGTTTAAAAAAGAAAGAAAAAAATTAAATTAACATTTAAAACACGTCCCTCGTATTTTGTGCTATTTGTTAAAATGAGTTCAATAATTACATTTCACACATGCGTATATTTTACATAGACTATATAGATATCTACTGCAAATATACAATTATCAATTCACTAGATTTATATATTTGTTGCATTAATTTTCCATGTATTTAACCTTAAATACTAAAGAACCTCTTCACTCCACTACTTAATATCTACTTGTATTTTTGACAAGAGACAAAAAGTCCTAATTTAACTATTATTCAGTCATAGAGAGAAAAATGAGTAACAGCAGAAATCTAATGATGAAGTTACTGTTTCATAAGACTCATTTTAGACTACCTGTACTTACGAAAGCTAAAAAAAAAAAGGCAATTATGTGAAGTCAATTTATTGAAGTAGCAAACTAATATGTATGAAAACTTCCTGGATGCTAACCATCTCACTATAGACAAAGTGGTTACCACTGTGAGACGTAAACTAAAATGCATGTGCATAAAGAAAAGCCTAAAAGCATGCATGTCAGATCTTCAGGCCTCCCTTGCAAAAGCAATCTGTGATCTCAACAGGATTTGCCATGCTAACTAAAGGTTAATAAAATAAAATAAAAGCAAAGTGTGTCAAAATAGCAATGAAAATGTAAAAGACATGCTTCAAATGTACGACTGCAACATCTCTCCTTTTAGCTGTTAGCATCTCTTGGAAACAAGCTTTAGTTCAGATGATTCATATTTATCTGATAGCTTCCAGTTTGTAAATGTAAATAATGAAGCTTCATCATACACCAAAGTTAGTCATCAGTGCTTGGACCAATACTCTTTACCTTATATATGCTTCCATTAGGTAAAGTTGTTAAACAGCATGGGATAAACCAACTTCCAGTTTCTGTCCGTAAGGCTGACACACAGTCCAGTTTTAAGACTGGACTTTCTTTTTTTGATAAATCCTATAGTTAGAGTTGGCTTGTTATGCTGCCATAGGCTTAGACTACTGGAGGACAAATTTACCTAATTTCTTCAAAAGAATTGTTACAATTTAATAGTTTTCATTTGATACTATTTCTATCTTAACATGTGATTCTTGACCTGCCATTGTGTATCTGTTCCTCCTTCCTGTTCTTCTCAAACCCAGCTGGTTAAAGCAGATGGCCGCTTGTCCTGAGCCTGGTTCTGCTGGAGGTTTCTTCCTCATGAGCGAGGTTTTCTTTCCACTGTCGCCTTCATGCTTTCTCAGAATGAGAGTCTGCAATGAAGTTAAACTCAAAGCAGTCTGCTCCTCCGATAATCAATGTTATTAACTTACTTTTTATGTATATGAATGTTTCTGTTCAGTGCCTTGTTGTGACTTGGTGCTATATAAATAAACTGAATTGAATTGAAAATGATATGATTGATTCTTTAATGAGTAGTTAGCAAATTTTCACAAAAGTTTTCTTGTGTTTTCAGGTTAGGTTTAATCCCAAACACAACTACTTCTGGTTTCTGTGAGTAGCTTTTTTTTTTTTTGCTTTGTGTTCTGTTGAGACAGGCTTGACCAGATAGACTAAAGAATTTGTTTCCTAAATCCGGTTTTTGAGTCAGTCTCCCCACCATTACAGACATCTACACCTCTAGATGCAGGAAGAGGGCCACCTGCATCATGAAGGACCCCACTCACTCAGCACACACACTTTTTGCCCCGCTCCCCTCAGGAAAGAGGTTGGGGAGCATTAAGTGTAGAACCACTAGACTGAGGAACATCTTTTACCCTGAAGCTGTTAGACTCATGAATATATAACCAGGATAATCACTATGATAAATCACATCATGTTGCTGCTGATCTGTTTCATGTAATCAAATCTCTCTTGTAAATGAGTCCTCGAGGCTCAATGGGATTAACCTGTAAAAATAAAGGTTACCATACCATACCACTTTATTTATAAAGCACTTAAAACAGCAACA